AATGAAAAAGTAAAAAACAACCATAAACCGCTTTGTAAGATTTCAAACACAACGAATTTCCTGCAAATTTCACAATAATAACTATACAGTTAATACAATAACCACAACAAAGAAAATATGTTATTAAGAAGTCTAACGAATTTGCAGGAGAAGAATAAAACTATTTATCGCTGCTTATTTAAGCCACCATCCTTAGAAGTCCCTAAGACGATCCACATTATGCTGAAAGTCCCAGGTTAAAACAGTTCTCAACAACTATGTAAGAAAATTTGTTCCCTTGCAAAATTTTACAAAATCACAAACCATAAGCATTCGCAGATTGAAAATTAGGCATTACTTTATCGCCTTAATGCGTTTTCTGGGTTACATACTTCAAGAATAGCACGGCCCTCTAATTCTGACTGGCTCAGTTGCCTCAAAACCTAAAAAGCGCATTTTTAGTATGAAGGAACGTTCATGAGTAAATAATGCTCCTTATACGTCTGAAAGATACCAGCAGCACTAGAAGTGTAGCAACTTACTTTCTGTGCATCATTTACAGGGTGGATGCTGTAGCTGGGAGCCCCAACTTGTCCACTGGAAAGCAGTTCAACTAACTGTTTCAACTGTTCAATAGTACCACGATCAATACCAACCAACGTCAAATGGTTGCGTGAAAACTGTTTCATAGGCAGCTGGATGTCAAATCCCGAAAGACCTCCAACAAACAAAACACCACCCTGAAGAAAAAAGGTCAGATTTCTAAATTAAAACGGCAACACTGTAGAAAACAAATGCAAATAAACCAGTAAAGAAAGAAACAATAAAATTTTTTAAGATGACCACTCTGAATATAACTAACCTCTGACAAGCATTTTAGAGATCGAACAAAAGAGCGCTGCGAAGTAACGAAGTCAAAAATCATTTGGATTCCGCCATGCCGTGCAGCGTCTCTAGTTCGCATTACCAAATAATCTTCAAACTCTGTAACAAACCGAAACAGTGTAATTGCAAAAAAACTATAAACTATCCCTCTAAAAAGAAATATAGGCGTAAACCACATAACAATGTCTAAGTTTTAATCCCATTTCCACTTAGTAATTGCGGAGATGACACTTCACAGAAAAAAAAATTCACACGGGCCAAAAATTAAAGCTAAATCCCCCTAAAATGAAGAAGCAATCTGAGCCCAGAACAAAACTATTACCATTTTCGTCCCAGTGCACAACAATATCTGCCCCATTCTTCTCGGCTAAAGATAATCGAGCTTCTCTGGGGTCAGCAACCATAATCTTAAAGAAAACTATTAGACATTTTGCTTTCCGAAACAGTCACTCAAAAATGAAAAAAGCCTAATAAGAGGTAGAAGAAAATTGGTTGGACTTCACCAGCTTAACAAAACCACTTTTAGTTTCTACTTCCATAAAGTTTTTTATTATGATTCAAGATCTTCGCAGATAATGATAGACCAATTAGCACTGATATTTGATAACTTTCACTACCTACTCGAAAGCATACTTTCATCATAAAAAATAATTCAAAACAACTTCTTCCCGACAAGCATAAAATCTAGAATTCCCGGCTGGCAGTAAATTACCATAAACATAAAAAAAAATGACTCACTTTAACTCTTTTATCACCGAAATCTAGGAAATGTTTGGCCAGTTTTGTTGACCACAAACCAAGTCCACCAGATCCAACAATCAAAAGTGTACACGTGCCTCTTGAATTTAAGAACGCTTCACCCAGATGTCTTGCCTAATTATGATATTTTTATAAAAACAGAAACGGAGGGTAGCTAAAAAAATTTAATACGTGTCAGCAATAGAATATTTTCAAGGAACATGGATACAGTCAGTCACTAAAAATTACAAGACACTAAAGCTCAACACGTCAAGGATTTTTGCTTCCAAAAAATTACATCCAAACTCCGTCAAAAAGTTTACCCGACTAACTGCAGAAAATGCCCAAGTGGCACCTGCTGGAAGTATCGCTGCTACATGCATCGACAAAGAGCTAGGAATTTTCACTAAATAGTCGAGACTTGGCACAACTACATAGTCGGCATAACCACGTTGGCACATCTCTTCGGTTGGCCACACGATGACCTAAAGTAAAGAAAAAATTAGAAAGAGTCGCCTATCCACTTCATTCATGTAGTACTGACACACACACAAAAAAGAAAAAAAACGGAGTACTTTGTCGTTAACGTGAAGGCCAACGCTTGTGGGGTTAGCATTTTCTCCAAACGCGTCGACAATGCCCGAAACTTCATACCCTGAAAAAAACTCATAAACCTACCAAAGAATGTAAGTAAAGAAATAGAAAAGACAGCCACAAAAAGCACACTAAAATTGAAGACTTCTGCTTCCAAGCAATGCCACCTGGAAGAAAATACGTATCCACATAACATACTCTAGCACTACTCTAGCAAAATGCTTCTACATTCCAAGGGTGAAACTATAAAAGATGAAAGCTCCGGCTCGAAGCATTGTAAATTTAATACGCTGAATTTGCAGTTCATAAAGAAGACAGAAACATTGATGCTTAATCCGTAGAAGCAATGACTCAGTGGCTATAAGTTCTTAAACCAAGATACAAGAAAGTTTAAAACGAGGCCTCAGCAACACTTTACATAATAAAGACAACTCAAGAGCAATACAATGGAATGTAAGAAGGAAGATGTCTCTCAGTTTTCTTACATATAATCAAAAGTAAAAAACAACGCTCTCAGACTAGCACTGTTCAATACAGCAACAAGATCTACAGCTCATACCATACACTTGTTGACGAAAAACCAGGCAGGAAATGCAAACAGAAAAAACTGCACATCACCTTTCCCAAATCTCCGGAAACAAAACCTTCTAACTCTCTTACAGTTTAATACCAGCCATAAAATTCGGCAATGACTAAACCGAATCACAACTTAGACTCCCAAACTGATGCAAAAATTTATTGTAAACAATAAATTATGCACACATGTTTCAGTGTTGAAAAGCGAAAGGCATGGTCTTCGACAGAATAAAAACAACTTGGATTAAACAGCTAAATCGATTCTTGTTTACACAAACCTTTAGTTTTTTTTCTAACCCCGTTTCACGTGATATTCACCAATTTTTCTAATGGTAAAGCAAACGCCATAAACCCTCCCCATTGCCATTTGAACAGATGCTATTTTATATCGGCGTCTAATTTCAACATCAGAGATCAATAATATTGCGGAATGCGCCGTAAAGCTTCAGACCTTCTCTCTTCAACGTATGCCTAATGATGCTGCTAACAACGGTATCGCTTATAAATAAAAAGCAAAGTTTCTCTTAATTTTCAAGAAGGAAACTAAAGATCTCAAAAAATACTTTCAAGACAAACTAACGATGCGAAAACCAATTATCTATGAACCGTTTCGGAAAATCTCCCTTTCAATAAACCAAAGATAAACTGACCAGGGAAAAGACTTGTGTCTCTTATTCCACGAGTGATTCTTGCCTGTTTTGTGTTTGAAATATCTCGCTCTGTTAAACAAACTCCTGCATAACAAACCTGAAAGATAACACAAGACTGTAGGGAGCAAATAAATAAAAAACCAAACAGAAGATGCCGGCTGGGGAACGTGGGTGCAATCTAAATGTTAAGCTGATTACCTTAATACGAGCGCCAGTGGGAGGAACGTCTGGTATTGAGTCCTCTTCGAAAAAGTGAACCTCCCGAACATCCTTCGGTGAACCCAAAGAAAACCTACGATTTCTTACACCCTCAGCCATCTCCTAAAACAGCGGATCCATAAAATTGAAATCTACAAATCTACATCTACCGGACCCATTTACGACAATTAGTAAGTTCCTAGTTGAAAAAAGTGAAAAAGCGAAAAAGATGATATTACTTTCGACAACGATGACTTCCACTCGAGAATACATGCATACGCAATAAAAAAAATCCTATCTTGTAGATAAACATTCAAATTTTAAAATATGCTAATACCATGTAAAAAGACCAGTGCTCATCAACCTTTGACGGAAAAACGACGTCCAAATAAGTGACATATACAGTAAACTACAGTATTTACAATAATGGCATAAAATACCGATTTTATCTTCAAAATCACACCGATAGCGTGAAAAAAAAAGTAGATTTGAAGCCTTTACAAAAGAATTTCTGAAGAACCACACTTTACCTGTAATTATTATCAGGTTCAGTTTAGAAGCAAGCTAAAAATAACTTTATACAGCGAAATTTTCACTGTAGGCTTAGCAGAATAAAGGAAGAAAAAAAACAACGCTTGCTCAACTCAGACAGTTCATAACCAATACTTTACCGAGCGTGATGACACTCGCTATCTTCGGCCAGATGCGGAAAGTAACGAAAAACAATCGAGAGAGGACTGTTTATTTGCTTAGCTGACTAATAAAAAGCTGTAAATCAAAAGGATTTGTTTTTTATAAAATTTTTTAAAACGAGAAGACAGGAAAAAAATCGGGGAAAGCAGATGCCATAAAAGGATTCTCCGGAAGTAAAATATAAAAACAAAGCTTTAACTTCATCTTCAAATTACAACCGCCTAATAAAAAAACAATTTATTTACTTAATTTTACGACTACAGATAATAGCCACAAAAAATTGCACTTCGGTAAGGCCTTTCCTTCCGCCAAAGCGTCAGAAAAAAAATAAACGAAGGTAATTCTCCAAAAATCACATATAATGAAAAAACCAACCTCATGAACACAAAACGAACTGCTTCCTCATCGTAACAAAAACCAACATAGCAAAAACAGTTGTATTTAAAACTAAAACAGAAACGAAAGGAGAGCAGTACATTACCGGAACATGCATCCTAAACCGTCCCTCTACAAAGGTAATCACTTCTGCAGTATTACGTGAAAAAGCGACCGCTAAAATTACCAGGGTTTCTCAAAAAAAGCAGCTCTATTTGACGTAAGCAATTCAGAAATCGCTGCTGCACAAACAGTTCCCCTCTTAATCCCAAAATATTACCACCTTTATAGAGATTACGACTGCCGAAGATGATCAAAGTCATAAGACCACCGAGCACAAGTCGTTTATATTTTCACCTGCCGTGAACAGAAGAGATTCCTCTGACTGACCGCTAATTCCAATAGCAGCTAGCAAAGACTGGTAAAAAATGAAAAAAAAAAGGATAATATAATGTACAAGAAATGTAGTAGAACGCAGATGACTAATAAACAGTGTCTTTAAGGACTTAAAATGCCAACTAATTTCTTTAAATCCATTCATGTTGTTGCACCAGTTAAAAAAAAAAACAATAGTGTGAAATAGTTTGTGCACTACACTCATAAAACAGTTCAACAATGTCACAAGACAAAATATAAACTAAACCATAAAGTTTTTTGAAGTAAAGAAAATGTGGATAGGGTGGAAACAAATGAAATAAGTATAAGAACCAAACCGTAACAATCCAAAAACATAGAAATGAAAGCAGATTGTCATAACTCTACGGATTTCTGTAATAATAGCTAACGCGGAAAATTACGCTACAATTATTGACGATACAAAAACACAAAAACGTCGTTTTTTTTCGTTTTAATGTTTCACTTCCAATCCAA